TTAAAGTGAGATTTGAACCCAATAGCTTAGCTGGGATTTGAACCTTAACTTCAGCGCACCCTTACCTTCACAGAACATGTATTTAACCACTGCACCACTGTGGCTTCACGCTGAGAGTTGGTGTTTTGGCCACTTTGTTGATATAACAACTATTGATAACAATTTTATTTAAATTATGGGGACCAAAAAATGCTGAGATGGGATTTTGAACCTTACCGTCAGCGCATCCTTACCTTCACAGAACATGTGTTTAACCACTGCACCACTGTGGCTTTCACGCTGAGAGTTGTGTTTTGGCCACTTTGTTTGATAAAACAACTATTGATAACAATTTTATTTAAATTATTGGGACCAAAAATGCTGAGATGGGATTTGAACCTTAACCTCAGCGCATCCTTACCTTCACAGAACATGTGTTTAACCACTGCACCACTGTGGCTTTCACGCTGAGAGTTGGTGTTTTGGCCACTTTGTTTGATAAAACAACTATTGATAACAATTTTATTTAAATTATGGGGACCAAAAATGCTGAGATGGGATTTGAACCTTAACCTCAGCGCATCCTTACCTTCACAGAACATGTGTTTAACCACTGCACCACTGTGGCTTTTCACGCGGAGAGTTGGTGTTTTGGCCACTTTGTTTGATAAAACAACTATTGATAACAATTTTATTTAAATTATTGGGACCAAAAATGCTGAGATGGGATTTGAACCTTAACCTCAGCGCATCCTTACCTTCACAGAACATGTGTTTAACCACTGCACACTGCGGCTTTCGCTTTGAGAGTTGGTGTTTTGGCCACTTTGTTTGATAAAACAACTATTGATAACAATTTTATTTAAATTATGGGACCAAAAATGCTGAGATGGGATTTGAACCTTAACCTCAGCGCATCCTTACCTTCACAGAACATGTGTTTAACCACTGCACCACTGTGGCTTTCACGCTGAGAGTTGGTGTTTTGGCCACTTTGTTTGATAAAACAACTATTGATAACAATTTTATTTAAATTATTGGGACCAAAAATGCTGAGATGGGATTTGAACCTTAACCTCAGCGCATCCTTACCTTCACAGAACATGTGTTTAACCACTGAACCACTGTGGTTTTCGCTTTGAGAGTTGGTGTTTGGCCACTTTGTTTGATAAAACAACTATTGATAACAATTTTATTTAAATTACTGGGACCAAAAATGCTGAGATGGGATTTGAACCTTAACCTCAGCGCATCCTTACCTTCACAGAACATGTGTTTAACCACTGCACCACTGTGGCTTTCACGCTGAGATTTGGTGTTTTGGCCACTTTGTTTGATAAAACAACTATTGATAACAATTTTATTTAAATTATTGGGACCAAAAATGCTGAGATGGGATTTGAACCTTAACCTCAGCGCATCCTTACCTTCACAGAACATGTGTTTAACCACTGAACCACTGCGGCTTTCGCTTTGAGAGTTGGTGTTTTGGTCAGTAGTGCATAGATCAGTAGTGCATAGATATATGCAGCATAGATATAGAACAGTGCTATATCTATGATGCATATATCTATGCACTAATGAGGGGGGCGCCAAGTCCGGAGAATTCGCGGGGAATTCGCGGAGAATTCGGGGACTTGGCGCCCCCAGGTTCCAGCGTCATTAGTGTATAGACATATGCAGCATAGATATATACATGATATATACATATCATGCATAGATATATGCAGCATAGATATAGCACTGTTCTATATCTATGCTGCATATATCTATGCACTACTGATGGGGCGTATGCAGCATAGATATCTACACAGTGTCGTCTTTAGTGGCTCAGTGGTAGCAATACCGGCTCTGAAGCGAGTGGTTGCCGGTTCTGTTCCTACTTCTTCTTGCGTTTAGATGTGCAGTGGTTAAAAACATGTTCTGTGAAGGTAAGGATGCGCTGAGGTTAAGGTTCAAATCCCAGCTAAGCTATTTTGGTCCCAATAATTTAAATAAAATTGTTATCAATAGTTGTTTTATCAAACAAAGTGGCCAAAACACCAAATCTCAGCGTGAAAGCCACAGTGGTGCAGTGGTTAAACACATGTTCTGTGAAGGTAAGGATGCGCTGAGGTTAAGGTTCAAATCCCATCTCAGCATTTTTGGTCCCAATAATTTAAATAAAATTGTTTTCAATAGTTGTTTTACCAAACAAAGTGGCCAAAACACCAACTCTCAAAGCGAAAGCCGCAGTGGTTCAGTGGTTAAACACATGTTCTGTGAAGGTAAGGATGCGCTGAGGTTAAGGTTCAAATCCCATCTCAGCATTTTTGGTCCCAGTAATTTAAATAAAATTGTTATCAATAGTTGTTTTATCAAACAAAGTGGCCAAAACACCAACCCTCAGCGTGAAAGCCACAGTGGTGCAGTGGTTAAACACATGTTCTGTGAAGGTAAGGATGCGCTGAGGTTAAGGTTCAAATCCCATCTCAGCATTTTTGGTCCCCATAATTTAAATAAAATTGTTATCAATAGTTGTTATATCAAACAAAGTGGACAAAACACCAGTTCTCAGAGTGAAAACCACAGTGGTGCAGTGGTTAAATACATGTTCTGTGAAAGTAAGGGTGCGCTGAAGTTAAGGTTCAAATCCCAGCTAAGCTATTGGGTTCAAATCTCACTTTAACTGCTTTATTGGAAACTCTCAGGATAACACTGAAATACAAGTTCCAGCACATGTCTCAGCAAGAGATTTGTGGCTCACAGGTAAGAGCGCTGCCTCACGGGTTCAGAGGTTGCTGGTTCGATCCCAGCCGGGTCTCTGCGATATGAGTGTGTGAACAGTTAAGCACAAAGGCTTTCCTTTAGTAAATGAGAATTGAGCGCAAAATTGATGTGATGAAATCAAACAAAGTGGCCAAAACACCAGATCTCAGTGTGAAAGCCACAGTGGTGCAGTGGCTCAACACACGATCTCGGCTGAAGGGTTGCACTGGAGACGTGGGTTCGATCCCCACCTCAGCATGATTTATTGTAAAATCGCAGGGCTCGAAGAGTGAAATATAAGTTCCAGCACATGTATCAGCAAGAGATCTGTGGCTCACAGGTAAGAGCGCTGCCTCACGGGTTCAGAGGTTGCTGGTTCGATCCCAGCCAGATCTCCGCGATACGAGAGAATGCTGTATGTGTGAAGGGGCGGGGATGATTCGGGTCCCCCCCCGAGCCCCGCCACAATGGACAGCAGGGGTTATGCTTTTTTTATACAATAAAAATTTAGCTGTCTAAAAATTTTGCCCCGCCGTCCCTTCCCCACCTATTTAGGTTCCCATCATTTGCTTTTTAAAGGGGTCACCCTCCAAAAAGAAAATGATGGGAACCTACATGTTTAGTACAGTAAAACATAAGCATGTACATACCTGTCCATCAGCAGAAGTCCATCATTACAGTCAATGTCTGTCCACACGTCCCACAGCTCTGCTTCTGATGACTAGATGTAATGGTCCAAACACATTCCTTCTGTAAGGAAAGACAAGAAAAAAAAGATTAGTTTTAGAAATACTCAATATTCTACATCTATAAATGACAATGTGAAAGTTAGTCTAAAGACTAGTTAATAAAAGGAAAGTGGAATAAATTAAAAGCCTAAAGTTGTACAGTGTGAAAATATATTACTATTATAATAATATAGTATAGTTCAGTAAGGCTGTATCAATAATAATCTATGATTTGAATTACAGTTTTACAGGCTACAAATGGACACAAACACTGAATAGAAATAAAGCCTTCGGTGCGAGCGCTGACGCTTGATGCTTAAACATGTACACTGTAAAGAACTGCCCAAGTGGAGTTATAACTTTAAGATGAAACCTTCCTTCACACAACAGTAACCCTAAAAGACATGTTCCTGCACAAGGATTGATCCTGATAGTTTTCATTAGAAGAAAGGCACTGCATCTCTACGATACAATACAAGCAGCAGACACACACTTCACACACTCACACACACATCAACTGATTCTATTAACACGCATCAATCCACTAGATTATTATTACATAAAGTAAGACAACTAATAACAAAAGAGACTAGAAACAATTGCTTATTATTCTACTTCACTACACATAAATCAGAGGACGATTCATTTGAATCTTATACATGTAACAACAACTAGAGATTCAACTTAATCACTGTCTTACAGGCCACACACAATTATAAAAACACTGAACACACAGAACTAAAAACTAACTCCCCATTCACAGAAAGCCAAACCTACAAAACATCAGAACAATATTAGAAATGCTATGCAAAGAAAACCAATTGCAAAGTGTCTAGTCACTGCTCTTTACTTGTATTGTTTCATGCTTGTAGTAATACTGTGACATTTTAATTGCATACCATTCTAAAGGCAGTTTTCACTCTCAGATCCCAGTCATAACAGGAAGTAGAATAAAAGCAGGAAGCAACAGGAGAACATCAGAGCTTCACACAAGACACAACTCCTGCTGACTCTCACATACACCCATAAAACACTGCAATATCAACTGAGTCCTTCTTATTACACTTTACAGTGTGAATATCAGAGGGCGATTCATTCAAAGATTAAAAAGGTAACGCTACAATAGCGACTGACAAGAGAACTTGACTTCATGCTAAAGTAAAAGTTACTTACAGGTGAGTCTTGTGCCGCACTCGGTTCCTCATTTATGTGTCGTTTGATTGCGTCGGTTTTATTTGCGGTTGAGCTGTAATATGTGCTGTTAAAGTGACATTAAGAGCTGTCATCTTCCCATCTGCAGGATCTGCTCGCGTTGTTGTGATTGTCATCAAGTGTCATGTTGTCAAGCAGCAGAAGCGTCAGACTGAAGGAGAACCCGCTTCTGCCGCCTTGAGGAGCGGAGGAAAACTGCACTTTACTCTCGTCGGATCACATCTGAGACTTTGGATTAAAGTTCCTGTGAAATTACAGCAGCAACATGTTTGACAAGCTCTGTGGTGCAGAAAATAATGATTTCCTTTGAATGAGTAAGTCTAGTTTTTTGTATATATATATATATATGTGTGTGTGTGTGTGTGTGTGTGTGTGTGTAACGTTATGTATGTATGTATTTTAACATAAGGACAGAACAGAGAAGACAGAAGAAATTTGCAGCGGTGTAATTCACACAAATCACCACAGGAGGGCGAAACACTTATGCTTTTTTGATTCGATCTGACTCGGTTTGCAACGGTGTGATTCACACAATCACCACTTTTCTTTTACTCTCTATATGTAATTCACACAAATCACCACAGGAGGGCACACTACTTATGTTTTTAGACTCGATTTGCAGCGGTGTAATTCACACAAATCACCACAGGAGGGCGACACTCTTATGTTTATTAGACTTGATTTGCAATAGTGTAATTCACACAAATCACCACAGCAGGGCGAAAATAATTTTAGATCTGACTTTTTTTGCATGTATATTTATATAGACAGACGATAGGACACAACACGCACACTGATACAGTTGATACAAAGAATAACTTAAAAATAAAATCATTTTATAGAGAATAGATCTGAGTAGTCAATGAATTATTAATCAATGACAATAATCTTTAACATACGCTAAGAACCTTAAACTTGAAATCTAAAACAACATCATTGATTCACAGTCTCTGTGGCTCAGTGGATAGTTGTCAACCTCACCAACCAGACAGTCCTGGTTCAAATCCCAGGTTTCAGATCCATGTTTGTTAAAGTTATTCATCATTTAACACACAACTCTGGATCAAACCGGTTGAAAACGCTCTTCATCTCAGCAGACTCAGTGGCTCAGGAGAGAAAGAGTTGTGTTTCAATCACAGTGTCCTGAGTTCAAGTCCCACTATTGCTGACTTTCAATAGTTCTCATTAGACAAGGGGCCCCAAAACCAGCTGTCAACGTGAAATCCATGATGGGCGAGCGGATAAACACACACTCTCTGAGGACAAGACTGATGAAGACGTGGGTTCGAATCTCACTTTAACTGCTTTATTGGAAACTCTCAGGATAACACTGAAATATAAGTTCCAGCACATCATCAGCAAGAGATCTGTGGCTCACAGGTAAGAGCGCTGCCTCACGGGTTCAGAGGTTGCTGGTTCGAGTCCAGCCAGATTTCCGCGATATGAGTGAATGCTGTGGTGCGAGTGAGAAGGTGTGGGGGATCATGGGGTCCCCCCTGAGCTCCCGCACGATGTCCAGGAGGGGGTTATACTTTTGACTGGAAAAAATGAAAATGGCAATAAAAAAAAATTTGACCGCCGTCCCTTCCCCACCTACTTAGGTTCCCATCATTTGCTTTTCAAAGGACTGGCCCTTCAAAAAGAAAATGATGGGAACCTACATGTTTAGTACAGTAAAACAAGCATTTACATTACCTGTCCATCAGCAGACGTCCATCATTACAGCCAATGTCTGTCCACACGTCCCACAGCTCTGCTTCTGATGACTGGATGTAATGGTCCAAACACATTCTTTCTGTAAGGAAAGACATGAAAAAAAAAGTTTAATCTTTTTTTTAAGATTAAAAAGATAGTTTTAGAAATACTCTATATTATATATTCTACATCTATAAATGAGAATGTGAAAATTAGTCAAAGACTAGTCAATAGAAGGAAATTGAATACATTAAAAGTATAAAATTATTTAAATTATATTTTGAGAAAACAGAGTGTGTTTGTATACGTTTGCTGAGGAGAGATTAGGGATGAGCTATAGTTTCGCTTGCATAGAAGTATTGTGTGCAATGACACATCAATGTAACACAAAATAAACAAGAAATCTCTTGACAAAATAACTGGTGTAGCTTCCGTGATTGAACCATAATTGGGACAAGCTTAAGTTTTAAATTTACAATAATCCTAAAAGGCTGGTTTCCTGCACACGGTTTTAACCCTGTTCTGTTCTGTTCTGGACTGTATGTATGATGGTTTTCATTAGAAGTAAAATCACTTGAGCTCTACACAAGCATGAAGCAGCAGAAACATCAGAGCAACTGACTATTAACAAACATTAATCCAGTATATTACCTACAGTAAGACTACAATAACAACAACAGCATGAAAATAAATAAAAAATAAAAACAGCATCCCTTATTATTCTGATTATAAATGTAAAGCAACACCCGATTAATTTTCCCTTCTGAAGGTCTTAGTGTGTGTTTAGAAAAAAATACTCTAAAAAGAGTTTTTCTCTTTTTATAGAAGACGCGAATGCTTTCATAACAAACTTAAACAACAATTAAAGCTGCAAGCAGCATTTAGCGGGGTTCAAGCAGTTTAGGCCTTTAAGGCCTTTAAGCACAAAAGCATCAAAAGACATTAAGTTTTATGTAGCAAGCATTATTTACCATGATAAACCATATTTCAATGTAATTTTTCATGATTTACCATGTTCTAGTATGATTTTCCATGAATCTAACATGATTTTCCACAGTTTACCTTGATATACCATGTTATAGGATGGTTTACCACAATATAGAAAGAAAAGTGGCCAGCAGAGGGCAGTAGAAGACCACTTATTGGCACACTTCCATTTTGAAATACTTTGTTTCTCCAATATTCTGCACTAAAGCAAACCATTTTTTCATGTTAACTTCATAAAGCATGCTTACACACAAACGCACGCACACACACACACACACACACACACACACACACACACACATTTATAGTGTGTACAGTATATGTATAGTATGACTGCAAAACATTAACAAAAAATAATTTGTTAAATAAATTAACTATGCAAAATATAGTGTGTACTAGGGTTGGATCCGAATACGGTTTTCGGAAAGGCACAAATAATGTGTTTTTTACGAATAATTATTCCGAACAAAGACTTAAAAAAATATTTGTGTTTGGGAACAAGACGTACTGTATGTCAAAAAGCTGCGTTCCTCATGAGACTGCAGTGCGCGACTGACACAGGCTGCTCCACACAGCAACAGAGAGGGCTCGGCTGAGCGAAAAAACACTTAACTGCATCACTATTTTTGTTGAATAAATGTTTGTACCTTAACTAGGTTCCAGAGGCAGTTTATAACTTTCGGGAAGCGGAGTTTGATCGGGAGTATATTCCATTATTGACGTCTGCAGACGGGTGCTCTCCTATTCGCTCTGTTTACGTAGCTCTGATAGCTTGGTAACGGTAATTATTTGTTTCTTATATGGCTTGGTTGAATTCTAATGTAGAGTGCGGTCTGTTGTTATAACAGGCCGCTGCTTATAAGTATAACACACCGTTGCCATGAAAAACAGAGCGTTGCCATGGATTCTAAATGTAGAGACAGAACGGACTATTTTTCTTTTTTATCGGCAATCGTTTTTTAAATCAATAAACTCCTGTTTATATCTATATTTTGAGTCAAATTATTGATTTACTTGGTAGGTAGCAATGTAATAAGCAGGGTAATGTAGAGCGAGGCGGTTGTTATAGCGAATACAAACCCGCAGGGACATTGTTAAATGTCCTTCACCGTGGTGTTGGGGTTCATAATGTTCACAATTGTATTTTATTAGTTGTTGGTTTAACCATGGTTAATGAGGTAATGGCTGACTGTTATTTTCTTCTCAATGACTTTTCTTGTTACATGTTCATTGCTGGATTTATAGAAAAACACCAACCAATATTGCATAATGGATATAATTAAATAATTCATAATAGTAATTGAAAAGATTTCCTTTCTAATCTCTTTCAACTCCATTTCGCTTTTTCAATGAGACTCTGCCACTTCACCATGCACGACTCACCTGTTGCCTATAAATTGATTGTGAACCCTTTGGCTCATTCTTTGCACTCTTTCCTGGCACTTTGATGTGTGTCTTCATGAATTACGTGAGTCCATCTATTAATTTGATTGTGTTTACATTGTTTATGCCTTTTTATGATTTAATGTGACTGTCAGCCTGTGCGCTGCTAATTGATTAATTTGTTTGCCAGACATGTGCCCTGAGCCATGTCGAAAGATTGTTTGTTTCAATGATTTTTTTACAGCCTGTTTTATTGTGATTAGTACTCATATCTTTGTTCATTTATATCATTGTTCCTTTTGTGTTGATTGATCACTGTCACCAATTGTATTATTTCTTTATCTCCTTATGCAACAACACACAAACAATGCATTGATCCAAAGTCAACAGGCATGATGCAATAAATTAAGACTGGTGTTGGAAAAAAACTAGTTTTCTCCCTGCCTCATTCATTGTTCCATATCATTTTACATCTTCTGACTCTATTGTAAAGTGTCACCAAAAATGCCTAATTCTGCTTCTCTATCTAGTGGACAACAGTGCTATTACAGCTAACTTATACACTATGCCATGAAGCATGATTGACCATAGTCAGGGATGTAGTGGAGGCTAAATGCACGTAAACGCCGTTTACGTATCTCCCAATATTCGGAAATAGCGTTTACCCACCTACCCATTACATAGGTAGCGTTTACCCATGTAGTGGAGTGCATTTTGCCTCCACTACATCCCTGACTATGGTAAATCATGCTAGATTCATGGCATACTGTATACGTTAGCTGTAATAGCACTGTTGTCCACTAGATAGAGAAGCAGAATTAGGCATTTTTGGTGACACTTTACAATAAGGTTCATTAGTTAACATTATTTAACTACATTAGTTAACATGTACATTATGTGAACAATACTTCTTCAGCATTTATTAATCTTAGTTAATATTAATTCCAACATTTACTTATACGTTATTAAAATCAAAGGTTGCATTAGTTAACATTGGTTAATGGACTGTGAACTAACATGAACGCATCC